TAAGATTATTGGAAATATTCAAGTAATATAAACTTGTACTTAAGTACAGTACTTGAGTACAGTTACTTTCTAATATTTCCCACTGGATATGGGTAAAGAGGGATAGGCGGAGGCTAAATTAGCTGTTACTGATTATGTTTGCACACACAGGAAGTCTTCTGTATCACTGCTGCATTAATGTCACAGCGATTCCTAAAATAAAATCTGATCAGATAATCTGATTTTCCAAGATTGATTTGAGGCCTCTCCCAATCAGACATTCATTCCATTTAATAGATTCATTTATGACTCAATCCAGAGTGTCATCTTGTTTCATTCAGAGTTCAGATAAAGCAGCTGTCACCAGGTGGAGTCAGAGAGCAGAGGAGGAAGTGAATGATAATGTCCTGCTTCCTGTCCCTGCAGGATGAGCTCATGTTCTTACAGTACCTATGTCCCATAGATAGTGATGTACACAAGATATTCAAGGAACAATACACTAAAGGACAGAAGAAGATAAAATACAAACTTAAACAAAGAAATAGGTGACGAAGTATGCCAGCTGGAAAAGGAGCTAAAATAGAGAAAGAGCTTAAAGTAATCATGTATTTATATGTTCCACCATAGACAGATCATACTTGCTGAATGTCATTTAGTTCATGTTAAAAACTGTCAATGTGTTCATATTTAATAGCATCTCAAGTTAGGTTCTCAGATGACCCATATACATTTTAAATTGAGTCCTGGCTTTGAATGAATGTCCAGTAATGTCACAGTTTTGATCTTCACTGCACAACCCAGAAAATGCTCCATGTTGCATTAGAAGTGCAGATTCTTCCCATGATGTTCAGTCCAGAGTTATGTTTGGACATCATTATATGTCCAATATCTGCACGTCAAGCCCAATTTTGAACATCAATTTTCAATTATAAATTCTCGAGACACTTACAAACACACTTAATACATTTGAAAGTTCTGACTTTTAACATAATTATACCACATGTATCTGGACAAATCTGTAATGTCTTCAACTGATGTCAAATGTATTTATGTAATATCAGTCCATCCTGTCTGTGTTTACAGTAGAGCTGTGCCATTAACCCTCCTGTTGTCTTCGGGTCAAATCTGACCGATTTACTACTTTCATCAATCATACATTCGATTGCATTAAGGCTTTATGATATCCTTCACAGTAGACATTTGAACATATACAATTGCTGATCACCACTTTCATTGAATTTTGGATAATTTAGTCAACTTTGTAACACCATGGTGTTCCCGGTCAAAAATGACTGCCATAAAGAAAAGGAATTAGTAACCATCCGGATCAGATAAAACACACACACAAACACCCATCCACCCATCCACCCACACACACACACACACACACACACACACACACACACACACACACACACACACACACACACACACACACACACACACACACACACACACACACAGAACAATTTGACACATTGCCCGCTCTTATGTGCCCATCCCCCCACATGGATCACACCTGGCACACGCAATACATGTTCAGTGTCTGTTCTTTGTATATTTACTGCAGTTTCTCATGTATAACAGTAGTCTGATACAATATTTACAGTTTGAAAGGGTGTTAAATGAAATGTGGTGATGATGAATGGTTTTTGTGTTAATGTAATAGCAGTTAAAACAGAACCGGTCAAATTTGACCGCGAACACCAAAGTATGGGGGGGGAACACCAAGACAATAGGAGGGTTACATTGCAGTAATTTGCTGTAATGAGGCAGAATCAGTTGACCTTGGACAGTATGCACTTTATTGTTTGTGTGTGTAGACGGGTGTAAATTAAATGGAGGGAATGGCTGCATTCATCTGAAGTGAGGCTGTTAACCATCTTTTTGCCTTGTTGCTATTTTAGGCACTCGCTCTCTACCGCTGCTGCACCTTGGCTAGCTGTAGCATTCTGCTTTTTTTCTGGCAGAAAGTGTCCTGTGAGTCTGCCTACAAAGAGAGGATTTACTGTAAAGTATATTTGTTAGTATTTATTATCGTTCAACATGTCAAACAGCCTTAGTTGGTATTTATATTATTTAGGACACAAAAGAACAGGCTGCCAAAAGAAAGAAAAATTACTCTCCATTGACATCTAGTTATAGATTTAAATGGATACCGCTTGAAATAATATATATTTTCACTACTTTCAACAAATCCTCCAAAGCTTCCTGTTGCTCTCTAAACAACTAATATCTTTGCACTTGAACGGATATACTTAAATACAGAGTGAGGTTAATGTACTTTTGGTAACACTTTATAATAAGGTACACAAATTAACCATCAACTAGTTGTTAATTAACATGCATATTAGCAGTATATTGGCTCTTTATTAGTCATTATAAAACACTTATTAATGCCTTATTCTGCATGACCATATTCTACAAGTAATAAGCCATTAGTTGAGAGTTTTTCCTCAATAACCCTTAGTGCTTATTTATTGCAAGTAAGGAAGTTGTTGTAGCCTACATGCGTTTTGGTCTTAATATGCTCTGCTCAATATGGGCCTAATAAGGCAGTAGTACCACAAGAATAGTAATTCTCCCATAATAACACTTATTAACAAGACATTCAACTATAAGTGTTAATTGTGTCTAAATAATTCAAAATGAGGTATTTATATCTAAGAATATGTGTTGTGGTATTGACAGTTCAGCTACCAATAGCAAGGTGATATTGACCTGTATGTTTCATATTTGCACATTTATATATTTGTAAAATTTGTACTGAAGGTTAGTCAAGAAACCGGGTACAGGAAGTAGGAGAAAGTGAACTGAATACAGCATGGCAGTAGACATCAATGAGTAGACTGCTACTAATTTTCCCTTTGCAACCTGAAGAGTAAAAGGGTAAATTCCGTCCGAAAGCAATGACTGTAAGTGTAAGTGTAAGCCTTACACTTACACTGTAAGGATTAGTAACATGTATTGTGTTTATGTGATGACATTTGGAGATGTTTAAACGGTTTAAACACAATGAGAAAATGCGTTAGTCACGCTAGCATTTGCGTTAGCATACACACGGTAGTGTTAGCATACATGCCAGCGTTAGCCATACTAGCCTGTACCGTTCTTATTATACACCCATGGCCTGTACACATGCTTATATTGCAAAGCTAGCATTAGCTATATTTACCTTGTTTACACTTAGTGGTCCTATGTGTTAATATGTGTATGTTACACTTGCATGTATGAGATCATTAAGTGCCTTGTAACTTCTTTTTTTTTATAGTTTCACTGTCAGTGGACTGCAAATAAGTCAATAAAGGAGCATGGCTGCTCATTCCCTGGCTCTCAAAAGAGTTTGGCTGGCTATTTAATCTATGTTCACACTGAGACAGTACAACACATAGAGAGAACAGTACACATATTGTGTAAGTACATACAAGCAGGTCACACAGTATGATCACAAATAAATAAAATCTGTTAAAAAAAATCTGTTTTTATTAAAACGTGTAGGCTGCATATGTGTTCTCAGCCTTGGAGAAACTTGACATGTTTTGGTATGTGTCTGAACCTCTCTTCAGTGGTTCATTAATAAAACATATTTCAACGTGTGCCTACTTTGTTCATGTACTGTTGAGGTTAATTTCAGTAGTTGTGTGCTATAATGTATTTACAAAGTGTGAAGAGGAGGCAACTTTAGAATAGGGAACATGTTCAGGTCAATTGGAGTCAAACTAATAGCTTATTGGTTATGAACAAGACTTCACTTTAAAATAGGGAATATATTCATTGATAGAAATACCTAATTAGAGTCAAACTAATAGCTTATTGGTTATGAACAAGACTTCACTTTAAAATATGGAATATATTCTTAGATATAAATACCTAATTTTGAGTTATTTAGACACAATTAACACTTATAGTTTCATGTCTTGTTACATAAGAAGAGATCATATTTGTTAAGTGTTATTATGGGAGAATAACTATTCTTGTGGTACTACTGCCTTATTAGGCCCATATTGAGCAGAGCATATTAAGACCAAAACTCATGTACAACAACTTCCTTACTTGCAATAAATAAGCACTAATTAGAGGGTTATTGAGGAAAAACTCTCAACTAATGGCTTATTACTTGTAGAATATGGTCATGTAGAATAAGGCATTCATAAGTGTTTTATAATTACTAATAAAGAGCCAATATACTGCTAATATGCATGCTAATTAACAACTAGTTGATGGTTAATTTGTGTACCTTAATATAAAGTGTTACCGTACTTTTTTGTGTATTTTCAATTTTATTATATGGTGTACTTCTATTCCTTTATATCTCAGAGACAACAATGTTTTTTTTTTTTACCCCTCTTTATTTCAGCTTTAGTTACTTCATAGATTACAATTTTCATCCTCCATGTCCATTGAATTTTTTTTTTTGGGTGGAGAAAATTCCCTTACTTACTTAGAAAACCCTGTAAGGTGGAAAATGCACCATCACAAAGCTGATAAAAAGGGAATTTCTTTTAGCTCATAAAAGTTGTCTTTTCAAAGATAGATGTAGACATTGATTCTACATAATATTAATCCATACAATCATATACTCATCATATCATATATAATAGTAAAGCTCTGAAAAATTACTCTAAGGTACATTTAGTTGATAATACTTATATACTGTTACTTGTAGTGGAGTATTTTCACAGTTTGATATCAGTACTTTTACTGAAGTATAGAAACTGAATCCTTCTTCTACCGCTATATTTGTGACCTTTTTGTGTAAGCTGATAGAGACGGGAAACACATTTGTTTGGTCTTTACATTGAAAGTATTGAACATTTGATAAAATTAAGAAATGTAATGGGCAGCAACATGGCTGGTAATGGGTAACCTTATCCTTTAATTGGTATGTTTGAAATTATTGTACAATGAAGAGAACATTGTAGCACGTCTTAAAAGTGAATGAGGGCCTCAGAGATTCTGGAATATTCTGTGTGTATCTGTCATCACTAGTAGTAACAGATCTTCCGTTCTCTCATTCACAGGTATGAAGAATAGGGGACAGTTGGAGGTGTCCCATGGGCATGTTTGTCCTCTGGCCGTTCAGCCTGTGTGTCTCTGCTCTGCACACAGACGCTCTGGGAGGGAGAAGAAAGACCGTCTAAAAATAAACTGACAAGCACCACCAGCAGAAAAACAAACTGACAAATACAACAAGAGGACAAAGAGGAACTTCCCATTGTTTCTGTCTCTTTCACCCTGTCTGAGACTTTCTCTCTCGCCACTCAGTTTCTGTGTCTGTCCTCAATTTGGCTAGAGAGGAGGTCATGTCCCAGTCTGGAAAAGTACTTCATTTGTATGTAGAGGTGAGGTCTGCCCCAGATCAGGCAGGAGGGAAGGAAGGGATTGCTCAGGGGCATTCGGTTCAGGACAGTCCAACTGAGCTCCTGTCTCAGCTAGCAAGCCAGAACTCCGTCACTAAGACCTCCACAGCTCAGCGTCTCCTTCAAGACTGCAAACATAACCAGTCTCCTTATAGAAACGTCCAGCTCCAGCAAGCCAGCAGCTCCCCTACAGTCTCCAAGCGTTGGAGTGCACCGTGTGATGGAGCGTCTGCCTTTCACTCGCCACAAATGATGTCCTCTTCGGGAAAGGTTGACGCCCCTCACACTCCTCCCAACTGCCAGAGGTTCAATGAGGGGAAGGGTCAGTGATGGTACGCGCTCTGTGGTTACCTTTAGTTACATTGAGAAGTCCAACGTGAACAGTCCATGTAAAAGAGGTACTATAGAGGAAAGATCCACCCCTTCTCACTTTCGTAAAAGACTCAGCGACCCAATTTGGTTTGGGAGTCCCAATTCATCGTGCAGCTCCAGTCCCAAGCAGACTTTCCGATCTCCAGGAAGTCACCAGCAGACGTTCTCTCCTGGACTTCGCCAATCAGCTCTGGATCCCATCGGCAGGGCAGCTACCCAGAGGGCTGTGGAGGAGTTCGGCTCCCCTCTGTTGAGGATTAAGCTGGCCCATGCACTTGAGCAGGACGCATCGTCACGCTATAACCAACAGCCGCGCTGTCAGTCCTGGGCTGGGTCTCCTGTCCAGCGTCAGAACATGGGTGTCCTCAAAGACCACTTCACGGAGAGGAGCCAGGCTGTTTGTGGGCTGCCTCGGAGCCCTGCGTCAGACCAGCTATCCTCCAAGTCCAGGCACTCATCTAACGTGAAGCCTGAGTCTTTCGTTGAGTCCCAGAGCCCTCTTCACTGGTCTGCAGAGGACAGAACTGTAGTCCGAAGTCCAGCCACAAAAAGAAATGTCCACCAGTCTTCCAACAGAAGCACTTCGCCGCAGGCAGCAATCCTCCAACTTGGCAATAATGTAGTTGAGGGCTTGAATCAATTAAGTGACAGTAAACCCTCCTCTCCGGCTCATAGCCCTGAGGTAGCCCGGAGGCTAGCAGAGGAGGCCACCAAAGTATCTTCTATTTTCACAGAGGCACGAAGGTCCTCATTGCACAACGCTTTAGGAGAGCCCGCTGGAGAACTTCAACATTCAGCACCAAATGCACAACTCAAACAAACGCTTAAGATGAACATCCCTTTAAATGACCAACAAACGCCAGCAACTGACAACACAGACTCTCACCAGCCGGAAAACTCTCTCTCTCAATCTATCTTGCACTCGCACGAAACCAACTCCAGTACTAATCATCAAACACACCAGGAGGACTTCATTCAGAAGTCCCACCCTCATAGCTCGATTTTAAGTTCCCCCGCCATACCTTCGCGAGTTTTACGTCCTTCTTATCCTCCAACTGAGTTCAGCTCTCCCATAAGGGACCCCAGGCTATTCCAAGCAGAACTCCGAGCACCGGATACCCCCACCCTACATCGCCGGCAGCTCCCGAGGTACACCGGAGACTCCTGGTCCCCTAGTCTCGATAAGAGAGGAGACCTGAGCTGTTTCGAGAGAGGGGACTGCACTGAGCTCGCTAGGAGGCTATTCATCAATCAGAGTGTTGAGGAGGCACCAGTTAGCTGGACGTCCAGGCAGCAGTGGGGGAAAGAGGTGGAGAACAGCCCGATGCCGAGCCCTGTGGCTGGTCTAGGGTGCATCGATGACCAAACTCCTGATTGTCCATCTGGTCACCATCGCAGACCGCTCAGTCCGACAGCACAGCAGAAACGAGCGGAGCAGAGGAGGAGAGAGATCCTGCTTCTGGGCCCCGTAGCGTTAGACTCTCCAGAGGAGGATGAGGGTTGTGATGAGGAGGGACAGGGCAATGAGATGGAGGGATTTGAGGCTGAGCAGCAGGGGGTAGGGGAGGCTCAAGAGGCAGAGCAGAACGGAGCCATGGGAGGTTCCTCCTCGCGGAGCTCCAGCGGGGTGACAGGAAGCCTGGGAGACAGAGACTGTGTGTCCCCTGAGTCCAGTCAGTCCAGTCAGTCCAGTCAGTCCAGTCACCAGAGCAACGAGACCGGGGCCGCCACCTCAGGAATACAGGTGGGCATTGGGTTAACAACAACACTTCAAATAACAACCTTTTCTTAGCCTATAACTGTAAACTTTTAACAACATTTGTACATGCTTGAGTTAAGGAGAGACACTTCAGGAGAATTTCTTTTGACGTATATGTCAATTTTGAAAGTCGTTGAAAAAGACATCGACAGTATATATTTAGGGGCTTTTTTACTACAACATTTGACAACTGTAGATTCCTCACAGATTCACCTAAATGTAGCTTTTAGATAATGCGGTATATGGCTATATACAATATAACAATTCAGACAACTTGTATGCTAAATAAAATAAATGTCTTAACAAGAGTAATCTATAAGGTAAATGTTAAGGTGATATCTATTAATTAGATATTTTTGCCCTATTCAGTTGAAATGCCTTGCAAAATGTATGGAATTTTACCTTTAGTGCCTTTCCCTACAACATTGATACAAATCTCATGTCTGTGCTAAGTATAGAGCTGGAGTGCTGGAGACAGGCAGCTTTTAGCCTAGCTTAGCATTAAGACAGGAAGTACAAGGGACTCTCTCCAAACTTTAAAAATCTATCTATAAACACCTTAACGGCCCCTTATGTAGAATCTTGTATTCTCCTTTGTTCAATACCAACACAATCAGTTTTCCTTCATAACATCAGATTATTCCCCCTGACTGCAGCTTAACTTTTTCCGACATGAGGGGGATACTTTTCATCTAACTGTGCAATAAAGTGATTAACTGTATCTCTGTAACTATCCCTTTAATGCTGCACAGAGCTAGTCTCTCACGTGTCTGTATTTGTCTTTCAGACGGACAGTGGCTGTGCATTGCCTGTGCCCTCGCTCCATTGTCAAAGGATCGCTCGTGCCAAGTGGGAGTTTTTATTTGGGACCCCTGCTGAGGAGGCTGCTAGCAGGGGAGAGAAAAGTGAGAGCATGTCCAACTCAATTTCATCTAGTTACTGCACTTTCATGATGGTTTCACTGCTTAAAATAGTCCCTAACAAATGCACTACTTCCTCCTCTTTTAGCAATATTTGCTAAAAACTTAAAAGACCAGCTGTTTGAGGAAATAGAGAACCTCGTTAAAAAATGAAAGTCCATACTACAGAGGTATTTTTTAAAATTAATTTCTTACATGTAAATCTTAACAGAAATAATGTAAACATGTAAATTAATAGATGAGATCAACAATTAAAACCTCAAAATCTTCTTCTTTTCTATGACCTGCTAAGCTGGTAGAGAAACTGCTCCACAGACTGTCGCTTATCAGTTCAAATTCCCTTCTGCACTCTGTGTCTCGTGTTAGGAGAGATATGATTTTACTGTAAATTAAAGACCACAAGAATAACATACATTTGTATAGGTAAAAACTGCCAGAGATGTCTTATTGAAACACCTATCTTAGCCCATTTATTTGAGCACTAAGTAATTGGCATTTCCCTTCTGCACACTCTCAGAGGGCTGTTTCCCAAAGGTTTCTGGTATTGTAAAAACTCTTGAATGAGCTGATTAAATCCTGCTTGTGAAGTGACTCATATCTCAGCTGAAATGTCTAACAAATGCAGAGGAGTTTTAACCAGTCAGCTGTCACCATGCCAAAACAAATAAAGATACTGAATCCGAAGAGAGATTTAGTCATCCATCTTTCAGTACCTTTGGATACTGTTTGATTTTGGTCTTTACCAAAGACAGTATTGAGGTTTCATTCTCATTTTTAATCATGATAAGATCTAAATATGTTTTGCATGCAGTTAAAACAGGGAGTTATCATTCGAGCATGGTTGATATTTAACTCTATCCATCTGCAGATTCTCTGGAAGCCTCCACAGCTCCTCCCAGTGGTAACTCCAGCGAGTCTCCCACACCAACTCCCCCTTCCTCCCTCCCTCTGCTTTCTGCCAATCACACCGTACAACAGGTCGAGGTAGAGCTGGTGACCCCTCCTCCAGCTGTCATCGGGACTTCCCCCAAAACTGGCATTATTCGCCGGACCTTAAAGTACTCAGAAAACTGACCTTGATGCAGTTCCTCTTCGCTGCTACCGAGAGACGGACATAGACGAGGTGCTGCTGGCGGAGCTGGACGACGCAGACTCTGCGTTTGGGAGTAACCGCAGCGTCCAGGGCACCTCGGGTACAGGCAGCAGCCCACTGGGGGGTCTGGCTTATGGTAGGACAGATGGGGAGGTCACAGAGAAGAGAAGGGGAGAGGGTGAGGAGGAGGAGGAGGAGGAGGAGGAGGAGGAGGAGGAGGAGGAGGAGGAGGAGGAGGAGGAGGAGGAGGAGGAGGAGGAGGAGGAGGAGGAGGAGGAGGAGGAGGAAGAAGAAGAAGAAGATGACGAGGAAGAAATGGTGAGCTGGGCCAGTGTGAGGATGCAAGGAGACAACAGGAAGCAGCAGCATGCAGCTGAGGAGGACCCAGAGGTGTTTGGTCACCTTATGAAGAGGTGAACATGAAACATACTCACAGGCATACACAAAGCTGCAAACACACACATGTTTACAAACACTATAGTGAAGCAGGATCTTCCCCTTAACTGTATTTTTATCTGAATTTGATCTCACTGGTTGGAAACCTATGTTTCAAGTAGATTGTAAACAGATATGTCTAACAATACAGACAGACACATACTGTACTGTAGGTAGTTTTCTGTGATGTGTTGAAGTGGAGATTGAAGGAGGTACTTATCTGTAGTCAATGTATTACATACAGTAGTTAGTGTTTGGAACACCCAGAGTATGGACAAATACATAGGAGTATCAACAAGGAAGCAAAGCAGCTGAAAAACCTATTTTGTTTACATAAAAAAGCCCACCAAACCTATATAAGAGAGCAGGAGTTGCTGATTTACTTCTGCCTTGATCTGTTAGCAGTTGGTGTGTTATTTTGTGACTTTGGTTGGTTTAGATTCACCAAAGTGAATCAATTACACAACCAAAATAACCAATCAAGTAAGCAGCAGACCAGCAACTCAGTGTTCTGGGTAAAATGTGTGTTTTTTCAATGCAGTCTTGTGGCTTTGGGCAAAGCATAGATAACAGCTTCAGCTTCCTGTCGGAAAGTGCTGTCTGAAAGCAAGGTAAAGCAGTAACAATTGTAAAGATAGCAAGGTATATGGATAAGTACCTCATACAACCCTACTTCAAAAACATTTAAACTATTGCTTCAAAAGTTGGAGTTCCTCTTTTTTTTTAGATGTGTCCTTGCACATTTAACCTTTTCTTTATAAACACAGCTGTGTTGTTGCAGCGTTCCTAAAACCTCCCTCTCTATCCAGACCAATGGCAACATTTTTTGACAACCACCACCCGGCCCTGAAATCCCCCATCTTGGTCTCCGGCCCTCGCTGTGCTGCAGAGGACACCTTCAGCCGCCACTTTGAGAGCATCATGGAGTCTCACCGAGCCAAAGGCACCTCGTACAACAGCCTGGACAGCGAGGAGCTGCTTACCTCGAGCACCCAAACCGTCCTGACCTTTGACCTGCCCACATTAACCCCTGCCATCCACGGTCCGGTCTGCCAGAGCACCAGGCAGATCGTCCAGCTCAGCTTCGCCCCACTGGCACACGATGAGAGGCCCAGTATCTCCGATTCAATCTTTACCATGACTGGGGATTCGGACGCCACCAGAGCCCCGTCCAGCGAGAGGCTGAGCAGCGGTTCGGACGACACGCCACCCAAAGGACGAGGGTATTCACAGCTGGGGAGCAGCTGGTACAGCAACCCTTCTTTCTCATTACCAAGGTGAGTTCACAGCAAGTCAATACTAAAGGGATGCAATGATAACTTAATTGGCAGGAAAATCACTGGCAACTATTTTATTTCATGATTGGTTAATCTTTTTTGTTTAGTAATGATTATAGACTAAATCATCAAATGATAAATGGATAATGGAAATATCTGTTTGTTGAAGACCTACGTGTAGTAATAGGCGCTTTTCAGTACTTTTCACCGTACAAGATATATTTTGAAGTCAGACTTAATTTTATGGACATTTCGGCCAGGGGTGTAGAGCTATTGGTTTAAGCACCGGATTGGCAAAACACTGGCGAGTCTGTAAACCAGTCTGCTTTGATCTATGAATTAATGTCCGTGACTCTCCGAGTACCTGCTGCCCGCAGCTGTTTTATAGGGAAACAAACACTCAGAACACACACACACACACACACACACACACACACACACACACACACACACACACACACACACACACACACACACACACACACACACACACACAGAGCCAGTGGCGGACTGGCCATCGGGACGTTCGGGACGAATCCCATTGGGCCGGTACCAAAGTGGGCCGCCCGTCACTAGCCGTCTAAGTACGATATATATCTCAAATAATGTATGCACTGTCATTTCCCCACATAAACATAACAGTCTGCAATGAAATGGTTGTCTCCTGTGCGCTTCACTTCCTCCTTGGCGCACCGGTAACTTTCTCAACAAAAAAAAGTGCGCACGAGTTAGTAAAATAAATGTCAGGATAACGAGTTAGTATCTCGTGCGCACGAGAAACGTTCTCGTGCGCACGAGATACTAACTCGTTATCCTGACTTTTTTTTTTCTCTCTCTGTTTTTTTTTTTTTTTTTTACATGTCCCTTTAGGGGCTCTGTAGGATTAGCATGGTAATTTAGTTATAATTGTTTTATTTCAATGTATTCCTAATTGTAAAACATATTTTTTTATATATGAATACTTACATTTACACCCTAAGTGTATACCTCCTAGCCTACATCGTCGAATTTTAAAAGTAGCATTAGCTTTGACATGTGTTAACTTGCTAGCACCTAACTCACCACGTGTCATATTTCACACATTTCGACAAATTAATGTATTATGTCTCCTTATGACTTTGTATGAAAGGGTGAGCTTTGAGTATGACATGGTAAATACAGCCTGGGCATATAACCCCAATATTTCTATTTTATTTTCGGTAATTCCTATAAATTGTCGATAAATTCCAGTTCATTCCCTAGGTAAAATGTTCACCTTGAATGCTCCTGAGATTGGCAACATGAATGCACATCATAATCAGGTGTTGATGCTAGGGATTGTAACACTGTTTTTACTGCCTTAATTTTGATGTCAGTTCCAGTAGTTGGACTGTTGTCAGTATGCAGATGAATGAACTTGTGTTGCCCCCCTTTTGCAGCAGAGCAGTGCTGCAGTGCTATTTTGGAGCTGAGGAGCTTGAGTAAACATGGCTAGATTCTGCCTGTGGTCCCTCTGCTGTCTGTCAGGCTGGTGTTTATGTGTGTGTGTGTGTGTGTGTGTGTGTGTGTGTGTGTGTGTGTGTGTGTGTGTGTGTGTGTGTGTGCATATGTCATATTTGTGTGCATGCATGTGCATGTGCAGGGGCGGATCTACCGGGGTGGCATGGGGTGGCAAATGCCACCCTAAACAATAGCCTTGCCACCCCAGTTGGCATCTTTGTTTTGAAAGAAAAGTTGTGGCTCATCGGACATTTATGAGAGAAAGTCTCTAATGTCCGAGTGCAAGTGAATGCAGCACAAGATGCACGTCATGTAACCCCTCCCCCGGTCCTGGCGCGAGAGTGGAAATATGATTGGTGGCGAATTCACTTGAACGGGGGGACGGCGCAAAACGAGAAGCCTTTCGGACAAAAGTACTGAAGGAATGAGGTAATTGCGGTCTACAATGACAGAGAAGAGAATGTCAAGTTTGGCTGTACTCAGCATTGAATCAAAACGCACTAAAGCTGTTGATCTTAATAAGTTTGTGAGGCGTTTTGCTGAACAAAATAGTAATCGCCGCATTCAGCTGTAATAGACATGCCAACTTGATGCTCTGCTCACGGATGACTCGATGAGAATAACAAACTGTTAAGATGATGACCTTGTATGCGTGTATATATTTTTTTCTTTGAGGGGGTCTGCCCCCAAAAAACAGTTTTAAGTCCTGAGAAAGTAAAATAAGACTGTAAAACTACACTGCCCAGCCAACAGAAAGTAACCACTTTGATTTAACTAGGCCAGTAGGTAAGGACCTTCCACTGGATAATAACTGCAGCGATGTTTTAGCTGAATACACGTTTGTTTTTTTTAACCCTAACTGATGCAGTTAGTCACTTCTTTAATGTTTGTTCTTTCTGATGTAAAGTCAAGGTTGTAACTGTATATCAATAATGATATAATTACTTGTTTTTCAAATTTGAAGGAGGGTGAGCAAGCATCTTGATGAACATTCATTATTAACTCCTCCAAAAAATATAGTTTATTCAATGATAAATGAATATGTGAATCATAACAGTTCTTCACTATATCTGTAAAGCGTCTTTGAGCACCTGTAAAAACGCTAACAAATTAAATCTATTATTATTATTATTATTATTTATTAACAGTGCAATCACTGTTAATAAATAATAATAATAATAGATTTAATTTGTTCCTAACAGCTGATAGGAACAATATGATTGTTAATAGTATCATATTCATTCAGACAAACATCGATGAGACAGTTAATTAATGTACTTATTGCAGCAGTCTGCATAGATTTGGTACCCCTGCTGGTCTAAGAGTGAAACAAACTCATTCAGTTAATGTTCAGTTAAAATTCATTAAATTACGTCTGCCACCTTGTAAGGCTTTACTGATGTGCCACAATAATATCACCTATGTGATTGAGTTAAAATATTAATATTGTGGCTTTCCAAGTTAACATTGATTGTAGGGGTGTAACGGTTCACAAACATTTCGGTTCGGTACGTACCTCGTTTTTTAGGTCACGGTTCGGTTCGTTACGTTTTCGGTAAAGCAGAAAAAACTATCACAAAACATTAAAAACATTTTTTTAATTTGTGTTAAACTGTGACTACTGGATTCAAATAAATACAACATATAGTAAAATAAACATTAAGGTGCAGCATTTCGATGAACTGAAATAATCTGTATTTGAACTGAACTAGTACCTAAGCAGCCAGCTTGACATTAGGACTTGCTTGTCATTGTATTTTCATGTTGTTTAAAGAAAGATGAACTTGTCCACATTGCTTGCTGAAATGGCAGATCTGCTGGCACTAACAATGTCTCCTGCTGTGGAGAACACCCTCTCTAGGGACAGTGGCAGCAGATACAGCCAGGTAGCGCTTTGCTAACATGGCAACATAAGGATATTTGGCGTTTGTAATAGCTTTGGTTCGGTCTGAACTTTCTGCGAGTGGTGGAGGCTCACATGCTAGCGGGAGTTGGGTTTGCACTTCAGTCTTTTTTCTTTTGGTACCGGTGATATTCACATTCGGGTGATGCCTTTTCAAATGAGTGTGATGTATTGCCAGCCGCGTAACCAATGTTAGTTGAACAATGCCGAAAAAACAGCTTTGGTTCGGTCCACCTGTCTTTGTCCGTCATCCTTGTACGTAACTGCGAAACCAAAATGTTCCCAAACCGGAGACTTCAATGATGCTGGAGGATTTTCAGCTCAACTTTATCTGCGTTCGCCATTTCGACAGTTCCTCAAATTACTGACTACATTTGAACGCATCCCTGTGACCAGCTCTCATAGTATGCCTCTCGTCCAATGAAATGACTTGGTCGCTCTATGATATATACCTGAGATTACTTCCAGAAAGTTGTTCATGTTCTCAATTGTTTACGTTTAACGCTATATTCGTTCGGTACACAAGTGTACCGAACCGAAGGGCCCGTACCGAATAATTTCAGTACTGGTACGTGTACCGTTACACATTACACATTGATTGATATGATTGCGATTTAAATCAGCATATACTTCTGTCAGGGGATGCCACCCCTCAAAATCTCCTGCCACCCTCTTGCCACCCCATCAATATTTGTCTAGATCCGCCCCTGTGCATGTGTATCTGTAGGTGATTTTGGAAGGTTGTTTCCCTACAGCAGGCATCCTCAAACTACGGATTCTGGTCCGGATCCGGACCGAACCACCACTGTCTCCCGACTCTGAACAAATTATACTTTTCATATGTATGATCTCTCTGTATTATATGTGAGACATCGCCACAACGCATTCGCAACGAGTCAAAATTCTCCGCTATGTCCACTGCAAACAGCGCTCTGCATGTCTGACTGTTCCACTGTGTGTGTCAACGCTTTGGTCCAATCACATTCAGCATCCAGTCAGCGTTTTTTCCCCCCAAACAATCTGCGAATCAGAGGCACAGTAGGGCGGGTCTTCGCGGAATGCGGGTGGGAAAAATGTGTGTGTCTCTTTCAACCTGTCTAAGTCAGAGCGAGAATAAAAAATAAAAAATTCAGAGCGAGAGTTAACAGCTCATCTAGTTCCATCTGTACTGTTGCTAGTAGCCTAGTTTCACCTACCGGGGTGGCAACTGACACCCTAAAAATAGGCCTTGCCACCCCAGTTGGCAGCTTTGTTTTGAAAGAAAAGTTGTGGCTCATCGGACATTTATGAGAGAAAGTCTCTAATGTCCGAGTGCAAGTGAATGCAGCACAAGATGCACGTCATGCACGTCCCCCGGTCCTGGCGCGAGCGTGGACATACGATTGGCGGCGATTCATTTTGAACTGGACGGCGCAAAACGAGAAGCATTCGGACCCAAGCACTGAAGGAATGAGGTATTTGCGGTCTACAATGACAGAGAAGAGACTGTCAGTTTGGCTGTACTCAGCATTGAATCAAAACGCACTAAAGCTGTTGATCTTAATACGTTTGTGAGGCGTTTTGCTGAACAAGATGGTAATCGCCGCATTCAGCTGTAATAGACATGTCAACTTGATGC